TGGGAATCGAAACAGCGACCCTTTGATTCACAGGCCAGCAATCAACCACTGAGCCAGAGCAGCCAGGGCTAACTATTCTCATTTTTAAAAATTCATTTTTCTTTTTGCTGCTCTAGTTGGGTGTTTTCTGCTATCTTGTATTCCAAATCATTAATTCAGTCCTCTGCTTCATCTGACCTATTGTTTATTCCTTCTAGGATATTCTCATTTCAGATAATGTATTCTACATTTCTGACTGGTTATTTTTTATGGTTTTTACGTCCCTTTCCAGGCTTGCTATCTCTTTGTTTAAGTTCTCACTAATTCCACCCATTCTTCTTCTAAGGATGATTCAAGTTCCTTGAGCATCCTTATAAGCATTGTTTTGAATTCTATCTGGTAGCTTCTCACCTCCATTTCGTTTAGCTTTTTCTGGAGTTAGCTCCTGTTCTTTCATTTTGTGCATTTTTGTCTTCCAATTTTGGCTGCCTCTTTGTGTTTCTGTGTATTAGGTAGATCTGCTATGTCTCCCAGTCTTGGTAGGGTGGCCTTATGTAGTAGGTGTTCTGTGGGACCCAGAGGCAATGTCTCATTGATCACCCAAGTTGGGTACTCCAGAAATGTCCACTGTGTGGGTTATGTGAGCTCTCCTGTTGCAACTGAGTCTTTGTTATTGGCCCATTTGTGTATGGGGTTGATCCTTAGGTTGGCTGACTATGAGGGGGCTGCTGTGTGGGTGCTGACCACACGAATCAGAATTTGCCTCAGCAGGTTCTGGAGCCTGCTGAAATCTCCCTTTGGATGTGCTGCTTCTGAAGCTAATTGGATCCTGCTCTGATGTTTGAAGCCCTCAACCGGATGTGTTGTTTCTGGAGCCTCTTGGGAGGAATTCTGGTGCATATCAAAGACAGATGCTAGCTGTGACTGGTCCTGAGCAACCTGTTTGAAGTCAGAATGTCATCCACAGTTTGTGGATGCCTCTGCTAGGCTTTGGTATGCATGGAAACCAAGCTGCACATCAAAGCCAGCCTCTACCAAAACCAAGCCTCAGGGTCAGCACAAGGCCTAAGGCATCCTGGTATCTACCTCTGCCTGCCTCCACCTGTTTGCTGCCTATTAGCCTAGTCATTGAAAGAGCCTCTGGCAGTACTCAAGTTGCATGGGCTAGGTTCTCAGTGAGTCACCAGGTAGGTTGAGTGGTGTTCAACAGACTGATACAGGTTCAAACTCCATGTTAGTGCTGGCTCTGAAGCTACTGAGCAAAAACCCCACAGTAGCCTTTCCAGGTGGCTCAGCTAGTTGGAGCATCGTCCTGTACACCAAAGGGCTGTGGGTTTGATCCTTGGTTGGGGTGCATATGGGAGGCAATGATTTATATCTCTCTCTCTTTCCCCTTCCTCTCTCTCTAAAATCAATAAACATATTCTTGGGTAAGGACGAAAATAAAAAGGCCCACAGCACACCAGGGTTGTCAGCCACCACCTGGGTGACCTCAGACCTTTGTGGTATGGTGTGGTGTCAGAGTCATCAGCGTGAGGCCAACAGAGTTTATCAGTCCTAAACATACCAAGATTTGGCTGTGTGAAGAAAGGGCTCTACACAGGTCGGGCATGCAAGGGAAAAATGGCCCCAGTTCTAGAGTCTGTTCCAGATTCTGCCTGGACATCCTGGAGAGCCTAAGATCAGCAGGGTGGAGTCACTGGGAATACGGAGGATGGGGCCAGTGGATCTCCCCGGGGTGGGAGGCGCAGGTCAAACTCACAGGAAGGTGGGAGTATTCCACTGTCTCAGAGTCACACAATCCACAAAGTGACAACCCATGTCTGCTCGGACCTCTATACTCTGGGCTCAGGCAGCTGACTCAACAGGGCATGAGTTCTGCAGTATGGTGTGACAAGGAGTCCAGATGGTGGGGCTACTGCATTCCCCCAGGCTGATGCTGTATGGAGAGAAGTTATTCACTGAAGAAACAGTGTCTGTGGTGTGGGAAGACTCAGCACAGGACCCTGGTGGCTGTCCGATCAGCTCTCTCTCTGAAGCCAAAACACCCAGTCTCTCCTCACAGGACTGTTATCTACTCTGTACTCCCTCAGCTGGAACCCAAGGTTAGTGGCTGTTGAATGAGATTTTGTGCACTAACCCTTTAAGAGGGCACCTGGGTCTCTAGCAGACCTCTCACACTGGTAGTGGAATCCCTGCTGATTTTCAGAGCCAGGTGTTATGTGGGTGCCTCTTCCCAGCTCTGGTGCTCTGGGCTGGGGAACCCAGTATGGGGCTGAGACTCCATATTCCTAAGGGAAAACATTTGTAGCTGAGATATCCCTCTGGAATCTCAACCACCACCCATAGGAGTGGGGCCAGCACATTTTGCATCTCCATGCTTCCTACCAGTCTCGATGTGGCTGCTTCTGTAAACCCCTGGTTATAAGACTTCTGTTTAGCCAGTCTTCAGTTGGTTATTCAGGTTGATTGTTCTATATTTTAGTTGTAATTCCAATTTGGTCCTGGGAGGAGGTGAGTGTAACTTCCACCTAGTCCACTGACTCGTTCTTTTTTAAGGTTTCTCTCTGTGGGATGTCTCATTGATTCATCTATTCTTCCCCTAAGTTTATTCTCATAAGCAGTGTTTTGACCTCTGTATCTGGTATATTGCTTTCCTCCATTTCACTTAGTTCTGTTTCTGAAGTTTTGTCTCCAGTTCTTTCATTTGTGACATGTTACTTTGTTTCCTTAATTTGGCTGCCTCTTTGTGTTGTGCCATTAGGTAGATCTGTTACATTTCCCAGTCTTGGCCAGCTGGCCTTATGTAGTAGGTGTCATGGCACTATCTCCCCAGTCACCTGATCCAAGTGCTTCAGGGTTGTCCTTTGTGTGGGTTGTGTGTGCACTACTGTTGTAGTTGAGCTTTGATTGCTGTTGGCACATCAGGAGATGGGACTGACCTTCTGGCTAACTGATCACAGCAGATAAGCTGTTGAGTGGAGGTTAACCCCATGAAATGGGATTCAGTGCAGGATTTTGGTGCCTGTGGAGTCCACCCTTTGGGTATGTCTTTTTTGGAGATTATTAGTTGGTGATCTAGTGTGGTCTGAAGCCAACCTCTGGCTGTGTTGTTCCTGGGGCCTCTTGGGAGGAGTACCAGCGCAGGCCCATGTCAGCCACTGCCGATACCTTACCTGAGGCCACATGGTAGGAGTTACAAAGAAATCTGTGCTTGGCAGCTGCCTGTTCTGGGCTTGGAGGCACCTGTAAGTGGTTATGCTATAAATTGATGCCTGGCCACTAGTGCCAGGCTGAGGGTCACTTAGCAAGAAGTACAGGATATTCTGAGGACAGCTGATGCTTGTTAGGCATTTGTGGACCTTTGAGAGATATAAGGAAATTCACAGCACAGGTTGCAGCCTGCTGCTTGTGAGAAGAGCTGCTGAAATATGTGGGTTGGGTGAAGTCTCAGGGCATCAGCAGGGTGGTCTGAGCTGTGATAGCTGGTTTCATGAAGACCTAGATTGGTTGCATGCATGCTGGGTGAGGGGAGAGCTTAACAAAGGAAAATGGTGCCTGTCAGCACTTGTCTTGGACAGACCTGCCCTTCCAAAACTCACCCCAAAGCCAGATAATTCAGTTCCCCCTTGTTTACCCGTGGTGCTTTTCAAGCTGCTGCCCCAGAGCTGGAGCTCAGAGTGATGTGTCCATGAGCAAGTAAGTCTGTGCATGGGCCCCTAAATAGAGGTATCTGGGACTCTAGAAGCCCTCTTTCTTAACCAGACAGAACATATGATGATTTTTACAGCTACAGGCTGGGGGAACTACTCTGCCCAGCACTGGTGGTCTGAGCTGTCGAGCCCAGTGTGGGGCTGGGCCCCCTCGCTCCTCAGAGGATAACTCTACAGCCAAGATGTCCCTCTTGACTCACAGGTGGATATGAACTAGCCTGTTACGTATCGTCTTGTTAACAGTCTCAACATGGCTTCTTTTTATCCTTACTTTATATATTTTTTTAAATAGTTCTTTTTAAAAAAAGATTTTATTTATGTATTTTTAGAGAGGGGAAGGGAAGGAGAAAGAGGGAGAGAAACATCAATGTGCAGTTGCCACTCGTGCGCCCCCTACTGGGGACCTGGCCCGCAACTCAGGTATGTGCCCTAGACTGGGAATCAAACCAGCGACTCCTTGATTTGCAGGCTGGCAATCAATCCACTGAGCCACACCAGCCAGGGCTATTGTTTTCATCTTATTTATAGGCATTCTGTTTACCTAGTCTTCAGGTGATTCCCAAAAGTGGTTGTTTTATGTTAGCTGTAATTTTGATGTAATAATAGCAGCAGACTAGCACAGTGTTTACCTACTCTGCCAACATGACTGAAATCTCAGCCTGCTTTCTGAAACTATGCTCTAACACTTCATTTTCTGCTGTATAAGAATGGAGCTGAGGTATGGCAGGAAGCCTCAACCAAATTCTTCATGGTCATTTGTGGTTTAGGAGAGTGATGAATAAATTAGTAACCCTAAGTCCCCCACTCCAACTTCAACCAGAGTCAGAGAGAGCAGCCTTTTTGTTCATTTGTTTTAAATACTGAAATTTTTCGTAACAGTTCAATAGACAATTTAAAGGGGTTTCATTTCTCAATAAAAAGTATAAAAGCCCTTCGACCAGATAACGCAACATTACTTCTTGCTGTAACAATCCATGAGTACAACACTAAAGTTGTGTAATGATCTTTTGTTAGAAAATTCAAATCAGCTGCAAATATGGGTAACGAGTCACACAGATATTTAAAAAAACCAGTGTTTTGATTTTAAAGAAACAACACTTTTTGTTTTACCTTTATGACCTACCTCATTTTTGCTATTCAAAGACAATAATTATAGACTCATTTTGCCTTTCCTACGTCCAGACTCTTCCTTTCAGCTATTCCTGGACATATATAATTTAAGAGGAAAATACTCAAATTTGAGATCTTTCAGAAAAATGACATAAGGTAATACGTAAAGTCCTCTCCTTAAATGTGATGTACACTCACCAACAGTCAGGAAATCTGATCGGTACTGACAAGTCATTCCAAAGCCAAAATCTCGCCAAAAGCCAGAATCCTTTTTGTGAACCTTAAGGTAGAGAGGGGGAAAATAAATAAATAAATTTAGTCCCTTATAAACTAGGAAAAGTTTTAATCAACAATGAAAAAAATGTTCCAAATAATAATTTTTCCTGTCATTATATGACTGACAATGAATAATTACCTCTGTGTTTTGCGTATTTCCAACTATAAAACTACTTTTGCCCCACCCTGTTAATCCCCATGAAAAAAGATTCTGGCCACTTTCAACTTATTTGAATTAAAGCCCTGTCTAAGGTGCAAGCTGTTACTAGTAATCAAACGGTGTGGTGCCTGATCTCAAGGGCTCTACATCCAATCTAGGAGGGCAACAGTTGCACATACTGCAATACACTGTCATAAATTCTACAATGTGAACCTTATCTGGTACCTACCCAGATTCTATTCCCCTACTGCCTTCCTTATTGTGCAGTTTTGGCTCCATGCAACCCATGACCTTCAAGCAAGCTCCTTCCACCAGTACACAGTATGAGCCATGAGGACTCTATACCAGTGTGACAGCCTCACCCCATTTAGTATAGAAATTGGTTCATTAACAGGTATTTGACAAAATTCAGGCCAGTATGCTAAAATGGGAGGGATTGAGAACTTTGGAAATGAAAGTCCCCTTGTCCTCCTGAGCGCTACCAGAAAAAGACACTTGCTTGTTTTAGATGGTGTAGGGGGGAAGCTGGCAAACTGCAGCCTCCAGGCCACCTGGTTTTGTAAATCATTTGACTTGAATACAGTGACACTCATTTGTTTACAAATTTCCTATGGCTGCTTTCATGATACAGTGGTAGAGTTGAATAATTGCAACAGGGACTATATGGCCTGCAAAGCCCTAAATATTTTCTATGATGCTCTGTACAGAGTAAGTTTGTCAACTCCAGGTGTAGGGTGTAGCAATCTTTGGAACTGCTAGTCCTTCTTCCACAAGGGAAACCAGCTTTAAAATGAACCTGTCATCACTGAAGTCCAAGCAAACAAAGAAAATCAGGGTTTTGTTGATACTGAATCCCCAGAATCAAGTAAAAGTTGAAGTCTGGTAAATCTTTATTTTATTCATAGATATAACAAGTGTTTAAAGTGTTCACATGGTTCTGGGAACTGGGACACAAATGTGAGCAGAGGTGACAAGTACCTACCTCTCTCATGGCACTGGTTTCCCCCTAGTGTCTAGGTAGTTTTAGTTCACTGCTGTTTACTCTTGGTAGAAAAATTAGTGTTCAAAAACCCGTGGCTGTTAGCTATGATTATAAGGACCCATCTCCAGTGATAGTGGAGGGGCTGAACATGGTCTAGGGCACAACATATCAACAGGAGCTCATTCTTGCAGACTGGGGCTCCGCATCCTCCCTACATCTCAATATTCCTAGAGCCACCTTTCTGGCTCTAGGGACCACATACACTGTCTCAGCCTGCGGGCCAATCTCTGTGATGCCTGCTGCTTAGCACAACCCCAGAGAAGCAAAAAGACATATTCCTCTGTGTCCTCTTGAACATGATCCAGATTGTTCTCTCCACCATTGATCCTATATCCATCCACTTAACAGAAATTTCTCAAACGTCAGACTATTAACAGTAACTGTCTCACTTTCCAATACTAATATGACATTTTCTTAATTTTTACAAAGGATTTTGGGTGTCAGGTAAGGTACATGTGGGTGCTTGATTTGCCATTTTGATCCCATTTGTATCTGTATTCCTAAGTAATACTGGCCTACAGATAAGGTAGAGATGTGTTTAGTATGTGTATGTGTGTATGCTTTGCAGGTATTAGTGTAAAGATAACACTGGTCTCATAAAATATATTAAGTAGATCATATGACACTAATATTGCCTGTCTTTGAAAATTTGGAAAACCTCACCAGTAAAATATCATCTGTATGTAACTGTATAATACTTTTTTGATAACTGTTCTAATTTTTTAAGCAGCAATAGTTTCTTCAAGGCTTCCATCTCTTTTATTTAGAAATACTAACATCAGCTTTTATAAAATACTACCATGAACTTACCTCTTATTAAAGGTTTATAAATTCTCAAATCTTTCCTTTTACTCAGAATTTTAAAAAGTTACATAAAATTCATTTGTTTTATTATAATTTCCAATGTTGTAACTTCCTTTTTACCTTGAATCTACCTACTTTATGATTAAAAAAAATTTTTTGCACATAACAAATAACCTATATTTGTCAAGCTATTATTTTTGGTTAATTTCTGCCTTTATCTTTTTTCCTCTGAGTTATTCAACTTTTTAACAAGTTAACTTCTTAGTTAATTTGTTTCTATTGTTTTCTTAATGTTAACAATTAAAAAAAATAGGCTAAGTACAATACAGTATCCTGGACTGGATCCTGGAACACAGAAGGGATATTAGTAGAGAAATTGGTGAAATCCTAACAAATTCCACAGTGTAGTTAGCAGTAACTTACCAGTATTAATTTCTTAATTTTGAAAAATATACCATGGTTACATAAAATGTTAACATTATGAAAAACTGGGTGAAGTCTAGGAAGGCCTATACCACCTTTCTACATTTTCTGTAAATCTATATTATTTTAACATAGTAAGTTATTTAATATTTTTAAAATGTTAAGTATGACTGTTATGCTGATATAAGTGCAACTCTAAATTGTGACACATGACTTTCCCATGCAATGACTTTCTAAGTAATTCCCTACAGTATATTATTCCTTCTTAGTTATCTAGTAGTTTAAATTTCTAGTTAATAAGGTTTATAAAATTAAAATTTATTTTTAGTATTACTATAAATATGTTGGCAGAAGTAATTGTACAATTTTCATATTCTGGAATGTGAAGTTTTCTCTGTGCCCTAAACTTTTTCCCCCCTCTGGAATGACACTAAAACAATAAATATGAAAGCATTTTACAGGAGGTAGGGGTAGAAAACTATGAAAATGTGTTCATAATAACTACAGTTTGTTACTGAAACTTTGTTTTTTACTTGTGAATGAAGTATAAAGGAACCTAGAAGGGATCTTTGTGGCCCTTCAGAACACAGTGAGAGTCTTACCAGCTGCTGCTCCACAGGAGGGGGTACATTCTGACTGGCATAAACAATGGCAGGGTTGTAAAGACTGAACACTACAGGGTAAAACACCTTCTTGCCTATAAATTAAAATATACATTTATATCACACAAGTCATAAAATGAAGGACTGGTCTTATAACAGTATCTATTAATAACCTGTTAAAGTCTTTGATTCCATATGATGATTTTATTTTATCGATATTGATTTTATCAATATTCAGGCTACTGAACATCCTATTGATTTGATAAACGTGATGATGATCTTTTAAATAACATATGAGTAGGCCAGGCTGTGGAACTGTAGCATTACAAAACAACGGAAAAAAAAAAATAGACTAAAGGGTGCTCCACACATTTATTCCCTTGACTTTGGGGAGATGCGCAAAGGTATTCTCTCAGCTATTCATTAGGTGAGCCATTTATTGGGTTGGCTAAAATGTTCAATTCATTTTTTTCCATAAGGTGGCTCTAGTAGCACTTAGCTGTCTTTAATTTCATTTGAAACAATTTTGTCAGATTTTATTGTGACAGCTGTCATATAGCATGCATAAAAAAAAATCAAAATAAGTGAATTTTTGTGTAGCCATTTTAATATTGAAACTGATAAAAAATATGCAACATTTTTGGCATATTATGTTTTATTACTTCAAGAAAGGTAAAAATGCAACTGAAGTGCAAAAAAAAGATTTGTGCAGTGTATGAAGAAGGGGCTGTGACTGATCAAACATGTCAAAGTGGTCTGTGAAGTTTCGTGCTGGAGATTTCTTGCTGGATGATGCTCCACAGTCAGGCAGACCAGTTAAAGTGGACAGCGATCAAATAGAGACATTGAGAACAATCAATGTCACACCACGGGTGAGACAGCTGACACACTGGAAATATCCAAATCAAGCACTGAAAATCATTTGCACCAGTTTGGTTTTGTTAATTGCTTTGATGTTTGGGTTCCACATAAGCAAAAAAAAACTTCTTGACTGTATTTCCACATGTGATTCTCTACCTAAATGTAATGAAAACATTCCATTTTTAAAACAAATTGTCATGGGCAATGAGAAGTGGGTATTTTACAATAATGTGGAATGGAAGAGATAGTGGGGCAAGTGAAATGAACCACCACCAACCACATCAAGGGTTGGTCTTCATCCGAAGACGGTGATGTTGTACATATGGTGTGATTGGGAGGGAGTCCTCTATTATGAGCTCCTTCCAGAAAACCAAACGATTAACTCTGACTAGTACTGCTCCCAGTTAGACCAACTGAAAGCAGCACTCAATGAAAAGCATCCAGAATTAGTCAACAGAAAATGCATAATCTTCCATTAGGATAACGCAAGACCATATGTTTCTTTGATGACCAGACAAAAACTGTTAAAGCTTGGCAGGGAAGTTCCGATTCATCTGTCTTATGCATCAAACACTGCACCTTCAAATTTCCCTTTATTTCGGTCTTTACAAAATTCTCTTAATGGAAAAAATTTCAATTCCCTAGAAGACTGCAAAAGGCACCTGGAATAGTTCTTTGCTCAAAAAGATACAAAGTTTTGAGAAGATGGAATTATGAAGTTTCCTGAAAGATGTCAGAAGGTACTGGAACAAAACAGTGAATACATTTTTCAATAAAACTATTTGTGAAAATGAAAAATGTGCCGTTTATTTTTACATAAGAATCAAATGAACTTTTTGGCCAACCCAATATTATGCATTGTTTCATCTGATTAGCAGGAACAGATACAGGTTAACCTCGGCAATCATCAAAAAACTTAGAAACAAGTTAAATCCATTTTTCAAAATGAACCATACAAACAGTAAATCCAAAGAATACTGCCTAGTGAATAGATAAATAGAAAATAATTAAAACATAGAACTGCAGATAGATTTGAATAAGATTTGGAAAAGTTGGAAAGATAAGAATCAAAATGACCTTATGTAATAGCCCTTGCAGAAAACCTTGTCACTCAAGGTTTTCTTTTCAAACCTTTTATCACTCAAACTGATAGCACTGAAGGGCCCTTAAAGGCTAACTGGTCCATATCCTCTCAATAGGGAATTCCTCGCCAAGACTGGAGTCCATCAGATAGATAATATTAAGTGCTCAGTAATTATAAAGGACCCTGTAAGTAAGGTAAGTAGCCTTTTTATTACAAGATTCCTAGCTGATACTCATCTTACCTTCCTCAAAACCCAGTTAGCGATGAGGAGCTCAGTTTCCCATAAGCAAATGTGTTTCCCAAGATCAAAATATTTCTTTCACATTAAGCCAATGTCTCCAACTTCCAAATTTTGAACTTCATGCTGTTTGGTGTAACAAAAGTAAACCTAACTCTTACACACTCACTAGGCTCTGAGAGTTCCTGACAGTTACCCCACCAAACTAATTAGTAAGAAAGTAATTATTTGCATGATATAAATCTCTCTACATAAAAAAAACCCACTATGAGATTTTTTTAAAATACAAAACCCTTTTCACTTGAAAGATTTAAATTACATTTAAAAGATTAAAAAACATTTAAAATAATTTATTAAAACATCATTTGCTCATCCATTTTCAAACATATCTATAACATAAAGCAAAATATATTCAGTCATCTCAAATGCACAGTCTGGAGACAAAGCACTATCTGTATCAAGACCTCCGCATGCATATTCTTCTGTGTGTGTTGGTGCCACCGCCTGACATATGTGCTTCTGATTCTCACACATCTCCAGAGTCTGCTTCACTCACACATTTTCTGATGGGTGCTGCTTCCTCCTTGTCAATTTCAAGAGTTTTTATTTCTTTGCTATTTGTTTATTTGCATTCAAATGTAGACATCAGAATTTGGCCATGAGAGAACAAGGGGTATGAACTTCAGGAGAAGAAATTTTCACTTTTTTAGTTAATATTCCAGTTAAATTATGCCTAATATAACTTAAAAACATAAGTTGATTCAAAATATGGGACATGCTGACATTGTTCTAAATTCTACACTCAGCTCATCTGTTAACATTTTACGCACCTGGCTCAGCATTTAACCGGCAGCTGTTAAGGAATTCGGCTGAGAAATATATATCAACATCACAGAAAAACATCAAGACCTCTCCCTTGTCCCAAGCTCGGGCACCCACATTTAGTCCTCGTCCACGATTAAATTCTTCATTCAATGAGACCAAGGTGTAATTGTGAAAATTAGACTCACTATGAGGAAAGCACATATAACAAATTATAAGTCCCCTTAAAGTTTAACAACTCTCTTCCTTCAATACAATGTACAAATTTTTTACACTTCAGATATATTATGTTGGTTTTACATTCATATAAGGAAAAGAAATCATCAGCTTCATGTGTATGATCATGAGAGAGATATATTCACTAAATACCCACATGTGAGGCAACATGATGGTGGTGTGAGGTTTGTAAGTGTTGAAGGGCTACTGCCCTTCAGAATCTTAAAAACCTATTGGAGACAATAAGAAATGTACACATGGAAAAACAGCCATAATGTTTGGTAATAAATAATACATTCCACATGAATGGTACAAATAAAGAGTGCTCTTCTATTGAGTTCTTCAGATCTTTGCTCAAGTGTCCTAATCTTATCAGAGATACTCCTTGTACCATATGTGAAGTAGCCCCTACTCCCTCTCTTTAACCTCCATCCCACTGCCCAGCTTTGTTTTCCTCAGTTCCACTGGAAAGTGCTCTCCACTAGAGGAGGAATTCTGTTTTGTTTATTACCATGGGCACAGTGGCCCTCATAGAGTAGGAGTTCAATAAATATTTGCTGAATAAATGAATAAACAGCATTTCTGAGAAAAAAAAGATTGCTTCTACCTGGAGTAGTTAGAGAAGATGTTGGAAGTGGAATTTAAGCTAGGCTTTGGTTAAAATCCTGAATTTGGTGGCGACTGTAAAGGTCATTCCAATTAATTATCCTCAAAGGCAAAGAGGTAATAAAGTACAAAGCATTATAAACAGGGATTAGACAAATCAAATTGGCTAAGAGGGATCCTAGAATGGGAACAATGAGAGAAAACCAGAAAAGGGTCAGACTGAGTAATACCTTCCATGAGAAGTTAGAGATCTTGGTCAGTGTCCTAAAGGCAAAGAAGAGTCAGGGTTTTTCCCATTAGAGCAGTGGTTCTCACTGTGAAGTCCTTGCATCCAGAGCGTCAGCTTCCCCTGGGCATGTGTTAGAAACCCAAATTCTCAGGTACCACCCCAGACTCCTGGATCAAATGCTATGGGTGAAGTTAATCATCTGTGTTAGTAAGCCCTCCAGGTGACTCTGATGTCAAAGGTGGAGAGTGCCACACTGGGGTACAGTTGGATCAAAAAAAGGAACTTTTTAGGACGATTACTCTTACAATAACATACAAAAAGGGGATTCAAAAACACACACACACACACCAGAATTATCTTCTGGAGGACAGGCCCCTTGTAGCATAGGCTTCCTCCACTAGGTGAATGTTCTTGGGACCCTTCTGAATCAGTGCACCAGCTGGCATTGCTGTGAGAGGCTGCGTTTGACTTCAGGGACTTTTTTGAAGACACGACGCATTTGCCCATTTCATGATGGGTGATTTACAAGCACACCTGCCCACACAGGGCTGAGTGTTCAGCAGTTTTTGACCGAAAACGGCATAACCCCTGTGCCTTACCCTTCATATTCACCTGATTTCACCCTGAGTGACTTTTCTGTTTCCCTGGATGAAAAAAGTCCTCAAAGGGAAACATTTTGCCAATGTGAAAGAGGTGAAACAAAAAAAAGCAGAAAGACAAATTTAAAAACTGAGCAGTGGAGAAAAACATCTTGAAAGGTGTGTCACATCAAATGTCGAGTACTGTGAAAGTGACTGAAGTTTAAGCATGTAAGAATAAGTACACAATTTTTTATAAATAAATTCTGGGGTTTTTTGGGGTCTCCCCCTTGTAGAATGGGAAATGGAGAGATGGAAGCAAAGACTCAAGTAGTGTATGAAGTGGACTCTAAGTACTCTGAGCGCCCATGCTCCCCTTCTTATAGGATATAAATCTCTCCCTTCTTTTGAGGAAACTGCTGTTCACCACCTCACACTCCTAGCACCAAGTGGAGGAACTAATCATAGAGCACCCCAACAACAGTAATTCCCTAAAAGCAGGCACCAGACTAAAGCTGGGCTAATCACAATACCCCCACCTGGCCATAATGATTGGCTCAAGAGTGGGCAAAAGTTACTTCCTGGGGATTTTCTCAGCTGGATCTTGGAGAAAGATGTTTTCCTCTCTGATAGCAAAGCTCACATGTAGAAGGAGACAATCTGCAATGGAGAATAAAGTCAAGATGCAAAGAAAAACAGACAAGAAGACAAGAGAATTTTGATAGTATTCAAGTCTCTGGTTCAAGCCCCTAAGATATTAAAGCTGACTTGGTTTTCTTCTCCAAGGCTGGTTGTAATGATCCCTTTAGTTTTGCAAGTTATCCAAGATTCTTCAACAGCACTCATTTTTCTTGCACTCAAGACAGGTTTCTATCATTTACCACAGAGGAGTCTTGATTAATGCAGGGGTGGTTTTAGAGATACCAATGTGAATGCTTGGCAATTAGTAGGTGACCTGAAAATGGTAAGGAAAGAAGAGAAGGAATGAAGGGGTGGGTGGAAGATGTGTGGTGGCAGCAGCAAGAAAAGGAGAGAGGAGATCCTGTGCAGTAAGCAGGAACTGACTAATGAGAGGTGGAAAATTAGTGAAAGATGCAGACATCAAGTACAGGGGATCATAGGAATTGTCTTAGTCTGAACTAAATGAAAGACATCAGGAGGACAACACAAGGTTTGCTGTTTACATATCAATGCTGTGAGAAAGCCCCTCAGAGGTAGGAACTAAAACTCCATCTTCCATGCCCACTCCTATTACAACCATTCCAGTCAGGCTCTAAGCATGGTATCTCAAGCATAGCTGGTGGGAATTCAATGAATGTTAGTTGAATGATTCAAGAAGAATGGTCAGCCAAATCTGGACTCTTTGGAAATGGCCACAACTAGTAGAAAGGCAAGCAAGTAAAGGATACGGAATCAGTGTGGTCAGAAAACAATCAACTTAATATCTTATAATATGTTTACATTTACAAAATATTTACATTTTACAAATATCAGAGGAATGTTTCAAGAAGGAAGTATTTGCCAGGTGTCAATATAAAGAAGTAATAGAAGGATGACAGAGAAAAGGCTGAATTTGGCAATTAGGTTGTAACTTTAGGATCATAACTTAGAGATGAAAAGGCTGAGAAGCTATGGAATTAATAATGAAGTATTAAGGAATTACTAATTCATTCATTCAAAACTCTGAGCACCTACTATGTGCCAGGTACTATATGAGTTATCTGGTTAGAGAATTACCGTCTTGTGAGGTTAAGGTATGAAAAGGACAGAAACCTAACAGTGGATACTGTGGAGTCAGATGGAAGTTTCTTAAGGATAAAGGGAGACCTAAGCATCATTTACAGGGTGAGAAAAAATGGAAAGAGAGGTGACAAGTAAGAGAAAGATTCAAGAGATAGTATCAAAGTGAAGGGACTGCGTTTGAAAAAAGGGAAAGAGTTCAATGGGAGGAAATCAAGGAGTCATAAATGGAAGCATAGATAAAGTGATTGGGCTCCAAAGTGAGAGCACGCTGATCATACCAGGCTGTCTGCTAAGAGGTTAAGTGAAGATGTGTCATTGAGAGTTGCATAAGGGAACCTGGGGTGAAATGAGGAAACTTTAATGCTCAGCCAACTTTTAAACAGCAGCTATTCCAAATTAACTCTTTAAATATCTGAAATTGTCACTCTTCTAATGCTATATATCAAGGACTTCTATGTGGACATGGCTCACCCACCTTGTGACAGATTCTAGGATGGATTTGACTTTAGACAGTCCTTCTTTACCAAAATACACCACTGTGAGATGAATCCTCTTGTCCTGATAAATACATACATCCCTAACAGAATTGAAAAATAAAGTTTAATCAGGAAAACATTAGGCTCTGTTGATTCAGAAAGCAATCGCGTGAAGAAAATGAACAAGGCATATTAATTAAAGACAAAATCACATGAGTTTTAAGTAAATATAAAGTACTGAATTATTAAAGTCATCACTGTGAATGAGTAACAATGTATATGTCTAAATAAGCATAACCCTTGCAGGGCGATGGAAACAGTCCAACACCGTTGCCAAATTTGAAAATATTTTGGAAGTTTTTGCTTTGGTATTCCCTTCAGGAGCAAATTACAAACTACTCAAGGAAATAAGCCAAATCAGTTCACAACCAAATAAATAAATATTCATCTTTTATTTAGAGACTTATTTTGTCTTCAGACTGACTAGTACCAGAAACTACACCTATCATCAAGGAATAAATACTTGCTACGAATGAGATTACTAACTGTAAAGAATACTGTAGCATCTGAAGGCAATTCCCAGAAAGACAATAAAAAATGATTTAGGAAATCAGATCCCAAGTGAGCTATTTCAGACATGCAAAATTCACTTGGAAGCATGACTTCTAGATATTGTTACAGAAGAGTGTTAACTAACTTCAAATTCAACAATTTCAATATGAGAATACGGATTGGAATTACAAAGCATTAAAACTAGCATATTAAAGTATTTCAAACAAGGCAAATGTTAAAACAAAAAAATCAAAACATAAATAGTTATTCTACTATGTAGTGGTTAATTCTTCAACACTTCAGCATTTTAAAATATCCAAATTTAATGGCAAAAAATCCTTTAAAAAATTGTTAGTCTCTGCTTCCCAAGATGGAATAACTTTCTCCCATTTTTAGTTGAATGTTTATATTTCTAAAATTTATTTCAATGTTAAAATTCCAATTGTTCTTAAGGGAATTTTCTGGGGAGATAGCAATGTTCCATATCTTGATTAGAGAGGTGGCTACATGAGTATACATTTGTCAAAAGTCATGAAACCCATATCTCTGAAATAAGTGGATTTTATTGTATGTAAATTATGTCTCAATAATGTTATTTTTAAAAATGTAACTTGTCTTAACATGAATTCACACACAATTATAAAGGTCATCAAATTTAGTTTCTCATAATTGTCATCCTGCATTTATTTTACTTCATAGCTGAAATTGTCAAAAACACAATAAGCTATATGTGCTTTAAGAAAGATAAAATTATCCTGTAATTCTAAATAATCATACTCAGTGAAGGTAAGTAAATGTGTATGAAGTGTGATTTTTTTCCAGGCATGCTTAGACCAATCATTAAGTTCCAAGAGTTACCTGAAGTTCTGCATAAACTGTACAAATGCTTCAGTTCTTTCAGCAAGTGGCACGATTATATTAATAAGTGATCTAGTAATGTCAACCATCTCACTCTTTACTTTCATGAGAGGTCCAAAAGGGCGGAAGAGGGTCACATGTCTATATTCCATAAGGTCTGCTTTCTTAAAAAAGAGTTCATACTGTGTGCCCTTATCTCTCTCGGTGCGGTAATAACCTGAAGGAAAGAGTTAGGGACAAAGATGTCTCCATGTCAAAGTTTATAAATTCAATCAAAAATATTAAACCAGATCTGTAGGATTTTTATCTGTTTGTGAAAGTATTTATCTCCACAACTATTTCTTTATAAAAGAAATTAAAAACAGTTCACTGCTCTACTATATTATCTATATTATTATTCAATCCATAGTATATGCTTCAAATGACAAGGAGAGTTATAAGAATATAAAGCTGGTATTGGTTCCTTTCTTTTCAGGCAGATATGAACACATTTTACACATTACTTAGTTATGTTATTTCCTTAGCAGCTTTCAATTCTGCTTAAGCTACAAACATAGAGTGAAAAGACAAAAAGCTGAGCTTGCAAAACAAATAGAAGAGTTTTGAAAGAGACAACCCATTGAAAATGGCAGGCAATGACAGCAGAAAAAAAGAGGTGGCTACAGGGAGAAGACAGCTGAAATGCCAGAAAAGCACAAAGTTCTCCCTGATAGCCTCCAAAGGCCCCCAAGGTATTCTAATACATATAGCAAGTGACATCCATGATAACTTGGGGTCAAAAAAATTACACGTGGTAGACAACTTATACATTAAGCAAAGAGAACTTGTAAGAAAGATTTATATCTAAAATGGTTTTAAGTCTGCAATTAAATATCCAGCAGAGGATATTAAGATGGAGATGGGTTGGATCTATAATTATTCCTGTTTATATCAATCAACAAATATCTCAGGTTTATAGCAGTGTTCCTCAACTTTTGAGTCATGTACCATCTTGATGTATAAAAATCCCCATGACATTTTTGCCATTTGTATTAGGAAAATACTTTCTAAATACCAGATATGCTTTTTAACATTATGTATATGCCTCTTTGGTGTTCTCACCTGTGCTGTTCTCCTCCCTCCAAAATATAGAATAACCATTAATATACAGAATTAGGTTTTTTTCTTTATCAAATGGTTTTAAAATCTTGAGCCTTAGTTCATACATTTTTTAAAAATATAAGAAAGGAACACCAAGACCAGATAAGAGAGGAAGGCAAATACATACACATGTAAATACACAAGAGCTCTAAGAGCCCTTCAACTTGGGTAGTAGTCTTCTATATAAGCTTAGATTTATTCTATTTCCATGGTTCTTATTTTCTACTTTATTACAATCACATTATAACTTTTTCCAAAAAGCCACTTCAGACTCTTGGTGGAGTAGAGTGGGTAAACAAATGTTTTAATACTATGGAAAATGACTGACATGTTACCAGCATACAAGAATAGCATTTTGTCATACTAATATACCTATGGACCAACACATTTTTCACATTACCTTCTATGAAGTCATTTTCATTAAATATCAGTTTCTCTCCAAGGGGACCATCCTCATCTTCCTGTTCATCATCTTCATCAGGATTATTAATGACCTCCAAGCCAGCTTCAATAACTTCTACCAATTCATCTCGCTTGTCTTTTCTAACTGGCTTTTCCTCAGGATGACGAGTGAGACCCATTTCCAACTGAAATACTTTCATTAAGGTAAAACTTTCAAAGGGAATGACCCCATATTCACTAGGTAGTTTGGCTCCTATGCTAACTTCAGCTTTGTCAATTTGGGAATGAAGAAACTCTAAAAGATCACTAGGTACTTGTTCTTTGTGGCCTTGATAGCTTATGCCATTAGCCCCTATATTCTTTCTCTCTTGTAATGATCTCACCTTCTCACCCATTTCTTGCAATTCTTGTTTTAGTTGTGCAATTTGGCGTTTCAGACTGGTTGCCCTGGTTTGATAATGTTCTTCTTGTTCCTGCAGTAGGGCTTGATAATACTCTTTACCATAATTTTCCCCAAAGACCCCAGGAAGAGATGCATTTCCATCAGTTTGGGGGGCACATTCCAGAAGATACAAAAATAGTACCAAAATGCAAAGTAAAGCAAGGCCCAACAGTAGCCACTGGGTCCGGGTCTGAAGAATCAGTCCTCTTCTAGGCATTGTTATTAATGTGGACTTGCCTAATGAGATAAGTTCTTTGCTTGTTCATACCTTTAGTAAAAGGTTATCAAAGCTTTAAAAACAAAATCAGTATTTCCATAAAAGTTACCAAAATGAATTTTGCTGTAGCTTAAAAAATTTCTTCCTTCAGCAGTCAAGACTACTTGCAGAAATGAGAAATTATGCATACTTCCTGTATTGTTACCTTGATATCCATAATGAAGATCTACAGAATCAATAAAATTCCATTATATGTGAGGTGCCTTTCTGAAAGAAACAGTTCAGAATCAATCAGAATTTTGTTTCTTTAAATACAGCGTCCAGCACAAACAACTCCCCTTTTTTGATTACATAAAATCTTTTATTACAAAATCATAAGCATGCAGTTCTAAAACATAAAATATCACACTCAAGCATACCACATGAAATTTTATGTGAAATGTTCAAATTGCTCATGCAAGACATTCACATACCCTACCAATCATACTCAGTGGTGTTACTTCTGCCGGACCCTGTACATCAAATTATTGACAGCTTCAGTAAACTTATGTGACCAGTATATTTCAAACACCATGAGAGGTGCTAATACAATTCAGAATATTCAGTAAATTGTGGGAGAAATTATTTAAAAAAAGTCTTACAAAACACTAAGATATGATATGTACATGCAAACAGAATGTCTATACAAACATAACCTCCTGAATGAATAAAAAAACATTAAAGTTACGTTTAGAATCATTTGGGTTACATACATTCTACTGTCATCTAATTGTTTGGAAATTATATTGCTTATAGCTCTATATTAATATACGATTTTGATCAACACACCACTTTCCACCTATTATTTCCACCTATTGCACATCACTGTTTGGGAACTGAGTTTCCTTAAATTGTTTTTGTTATGTTAATAATGACTTACTAGAGAGAGCAAGAGAGATGTTCTTCAGGTAATTAATTCAAGAATTCTAGTTCATTAATTTCTATGGTTCAAATCTAAGAGCCTTAAAATTAAGTGGAGAAAAAAACACTTTCAAAAGGTCACAAACATCTGGAAAACACATTAAGAAACATATTCCGAAATCCTCCAGAAGACTATTCGAGCATTAGATCACACAATTCTTTCAGAGCAATAGATTTCCTACAAGTCCAGAAAGGCTTAGAGTCTACATAAAGAAAAAACATGAATATTTTAATATTTTTTTCTGTTTTCAGGGAAATAAAAATCAAAAACCTTTTATAAATTTACAAAATTATTCAATACGTAGTATCATTCGTACCACAACCAGTTGTGTGAGCTCTCCTGTCGTCTTTCTAAACTAAGGATTCTTAAATGCAGAAATAGAAATGGTTAAACAGGAGAACAGGGGAGGCCTCTGCCCCAGAGAGAAATTCCATTCTAAAGAAGTGTTTGTCAGGAACAACATGTAATACTATAGTAAGCTTTTAACAATGTTTTCTACCAGTGCAGCAGAACCTGCAGAAGATTATCACCAGGGAACATGAGTCCTAATCACTTTTTTAATGATTAGGAAAGCCTAGATGTTTCTGTGAGAAATGCTGCAACATGTGTTTTATGTGGCACATATCAGTATAAAATATAGGCTAGTAGACCACAATGGACTTAACTATCCTTAGCCATTTATTACTTTAGTTAACCAAATGATAATCAAGCATCTTGAAAATTTTAATTTACCACTGAAATAGCAGTGTATATCACATATAGATTTGCGTTACAATTATATATACATGAGGCAGAGAGAAGATGGTGGCGAGGTAGGTGGGAGCCAAGTCCACTTGCTTGTGCACCAGACTTGGGCTCTTAGCTGATCTCCCAAAAAAGCAAGTGAACAGTCAACAGAATCTTAGATGATATGAAGTTTGAAAGCCAAAGAGTACAGAGGATGCTTCAAAATGGGTCATAACGATGTTTTATAGGCGAATGGGGAAAGTATCCAGGTGTGGCACCAGCTCCTGTGGAGAGGCCGGTCAGAGGCAGTAGCCTAGCAGCTCCCTCCCATGCCAGGGCAGGGAATTCCCAGACCCAGACAAAGTACACTGGGCCCCACGGCACTATTGCACTGAGGCCATCAAAGCAGGAAGCTCAGAAAGTGTGCAGCAATGGGGATTCATAGTGTCACCCAGCCTTGGCTCACACAGAGCTGCAGTCTACACCAAGCAGGAGAGAGCTAACACTGTTACAGATTATCCTCCTCTGTCCCCATGAAACACAGAACTATTTAATCAGAAACTATACAATCTTGGAAATAAACTAGGAAAGACTCAGATGGGAAGTGTAGGGGCTGGGGGAACGCACCCACAAATTTCCTCAAAGACTGAACAGTGCCTCCCAAGGGAGATGCAGAGGTCTCACCCTCTCAATCACAACAGAAGCTCCCTCTAGAGGCAGGGGAAAGAGATACAGGTGGTGTTGCCGCACGTTAGAGGACCCACCCCAGGACCCTGATAGAAAACCAGAGATGGATCCAGAAAGAAGGCAAACACCAACAGCTGAGACAAATTTCACCTCGCTCTTCCTCAGAACTTGTGTTTTTTTTCTCTTCTTTTTTTCCTTTCATATAGCCTTTCATTATTTCTTCTCTCACTTCAATCGTATTCCAACTCACAACTCCTGGTCTTTTATTTTTTATTATTTTTATTTAGATTATATTATTCTTCATATTATTGTTATTTCAAATCCCATATAGCATCCTTCTTTGGTCTAACTCTATTGTTCCATCTTCCTGACCTTTCTCACTGTTGTTGTTAACTTTATTTTCTCCCATGCTACGTCATGTTCTTATTCCTTACCCTTACTACTTTTCCTCCATCTATCCTTGCAAAAGCATTCTTCCTTAAGTATTCTCACATTCATTTTCCCCTCTTGTGACAGTCTTGTATCCTTTCCTCCTTTATAAATTGTGACTAGTTGAGTGAGGGTATCACGGCTATTACTGTTCTTCTTCAAAGGAACCCCTACTTGTTCACTAAACAGTACTTTAAATCCCATAAGATACTTTCCACCTGTCTCACTCCATTTTGCCTTCCCTCTGCCCTTGATCTGTTGAGTTACGAATTTTAATTTTTTTTTGTTCCCTTTCTTAGCCTGGGCTCTACTGCTTACTCTTATTAGTCTTCCTCCCCCATCTCCTCAAATATCATTTTTCTTTGCTGTAGACATCTTATATTCACTTTTCTCCTTTGTATGATATTCTTATTCCCTTTCCACCTTTATTCATCTTCACTCAGCTGTTGTTGCTATTGATCCTCCTATGGTTTTTGTGCAATTTTGTTTCCATTGGTTCAGTACCTGTTCAATTTTACTTCAAATCTCATAGTATACTTTTCCTTACTCCATTTTTGCCATTGGCCTTCCATGTTTTATGTACTTTAAATTTTGTTCTCTCCCTTTGTCTCATTTCTATTCCCTACTCTTATTACTTCTCCTTCTTCTTCCATCTCAAAATCATTTTTCTCTTTTGTTCATCTCATATTCCCTTTTTCCTATCTTAAAACATTCTTAATCTCTCTCCGTCTTCATCAATCTTTGCTCAATTGTACTTGGTTGTGGTAATGTGGTAGGATTTCTTTTTTCTAGAGTGGGTTTGGATGTCTGCTAATATTGCTCTGCTAACCAACACCTGTACAACAGCATACAAGATGCAGAAGTTGTAACTTCCAGTGAGCCAGCTGGAGGAGAGAACCCACCAACAAATGAGTCACCAGTAAGCAAAGCCCAAGTACAACAACAGAGCCCACACAAACTGAATAAAGGGCAACCCTAGGAAAGCCAGATAAGGAGATCAAAGAGACTGTACCACTAAGTCCCACAGAACTCCTACCACAGAGTCCACCTCACAAAGACAGGCAGGCAAAGCAGAGCATCCTGAGACACAGAAACAGAGTCACCTAAAATGGGGAGACAAAGAAAGAACCCCCAATCAAAGGAACGGAGAAATCCTCGGAAAAAGAGCTAAATGAAATTGAGGAAAGCAATCTGTCAGACATAAAATTTTAAAAAATGGTTGTAAGGATGCTCAAGGAACTCAGTGGGAACTACAACAGCATGAAAAAGGAAATAGAAAGTATAAACAAGAACAAAGAAGAAATGAAGAATAAATATCTGGGAAAAATATACACTAGAAGAAATTACAAGCCGGCTGGATGAAACAGAGGACTGAATCAGCAAGCTGGAAAACAAGGTAGAAAGAAATACCCAGGCAGAGTAACAAAACAAAAAGACTCAAAAAGTATGAGGATACTTTAAGGAACTTCAGGACCACATGAAATGTAAAAATATTCGCATCATAGGAATACCAGGAGAAGAAAAGGAACAAGGAATAGAAAACCCGTTTGAAAAAATAATGACAGAAAAATTCCCTAATGCAGGGAGGGGGAAAAATCATGCAAGTTCAGGAGGCACAGAGGGTCCCAATCAAGATGAACCCAAAGAGGCCCACTCCGAGGCACATCATAATTAAAATGCCAAATGTTAAAGACAAAGAGAGAATTTTAAAGGCTGCAAGGGAGAAGCAGGTAGTAACATACAAGGCAGCTCCAATAAGGCTAGCAGCTGATTTCGCAACAGAAACACTACAAGATAGAAAGGAATAGCAACAAATATTCTAAGTAATGAAAAGCAAACGCCTGCGACCAAGACTGTCCACAAGGCCGTCATTAAAAATGGAAGGCAAGGAGTTTCCTAGACAAAAGAAGGCTGAAAGAATATACCTCCAACAAACCAGCAATACTTGCAAGACATGTTAAAGAGACTACTTTAAGAAGCTAAAGGAAAAGAGTGAGAGAAAGAGAATAGAGCTACAAGGGAAAAAATGTCAATCAGTAAGTACCTAAAATAACCTTAAATGTAAATGGATTAAGTGCTCCAAAAAAGACATAGGGAATTGAACAGATAAGAAAATATGACCAGCATATACGCTGTTTACAGGAGACCAACCTCAGAATAAAACATTTACACAGACCAAAAGTGAAGAGCTGGAAAAAAATATTCCAAGCAAATGGACAGGGGAAAAACAAACAAACAAACAAAAAAAAACAGGGTAGCAAAACTTATATCAGAGAAAACAGATTGCAAAACAAAAGCCATAAAAAGAGACAGAGAAGGATATTTCATAATTCTTAAGGGAAGAATCAATCAGGAAGACATAAAAAGTGTAAACATATATGCACACAACACAGAAGCACCCAAATATATAAAGAAAATCTTGGAGAAATTAAAGAAAGATAATAGACAGCAACATACTAA